CCCCCCCCCCAGTTTGCACGTCGATTTGCAAAACAGACTCCAGTATCTCCTGAGCCCCTTCTTGTTTTATAAGGCTGAGCCGTTAGATCCTGGCGCTTAGGCCCAAGAGTCCAGCAGCAGCATTGCCATCAGCAGAGATCTTGAGGTGCCCCCCCCCAAAAAAAGAGATTTCTGATCCAGGATCCACCCTGACTCCCTCAAGCGAGGGACGCCAGGCGACCCAGAGCTGGCCAGACCCAGCAGCAGAGGGGCCCCACGGTCTTGGTGCCTCCGTGGCCTGTCCACAACCCAGGAGGGCCAAGTGCAGCCCGGGGGTCGACCCTTGAAGGCTTCCTGCTTGATGAGCAGGGACCAGATCCTGGAGGAAGGTTTCTGGAGCCGAAAGCCTCAGAGGCCACTGCGTCGGTCCATGCCTTACAGCCAGGGTTCCCACCCTTGGGTAAAAGCCAGGTGTTCTTGGACTGCGATTCCCAGAAGCCCCGGCGGGTGGGGAAGGCTTCTGGGAATGGCAGCCCAAGAACACCGGGGTGACCCACAATTGGGAACCAAAAGATCCCAGCTGAAAAGCTAGAAGCAGACTCCTTTTCCAGGCGTGGATTGACTTGCTTTTGCGTTCCGGACGGTGCGTTCTGTCCCCAGGCTTGTCCTTCGCCCTGGCTTCTTCCAGAGTCTGTTTCAGACCTCCCCCCCCCAGCCCCTCTAAAGAGAAAGAACGATTAAGGTGAAGAGTCCATTCCTCAAAGCGCCATGCCCCTTAAAACAAAGCACAAGCGTCTGTCGTCATCCCCCCTAAGCCCATAGATGCCCAGCCTCACCCAGTTTTGTTTGGTCCGGGGGAGAGGGGGGGAGTTGAGATAGCCCCCACGGCAAGATCCATCTTGTAATAGGCCCGCGCCCTCTTTGCTGAGCCATCGGTAAAGGGAACAAGGGCAGGGCCAGAGAGCAAGGGAAGCTGCAGTCTTTCATTTGGGGCCCCTTGGCCCAAGTTCAAAACATGCGCGCTTCCGCGTCGTGGCAAAGTGAGCCCGAAAGAGAGAGAATGTATCTTGAGATGTAAGGGCCGACGTGTCTTAATGGATGACGGCTCTGGAGTGGCCTTTCTCTCCTGAGGCCCGGAAACCCCTTGCCTTTCCAGGAGATCGCCCTCTGTCACGAAGTCAAGCCTCTCCAAATCGTGCCGGCCCACCTGGTGCAGCCCCTGAAGCCCAGCTTTCCCACCCACCTCGCCATGAGCCAGGTGGAGTTGGCGGAGCGCCTGCTGAAAGACCTGGGGACGGACAACAGCGGCTTCACGGTCGACGGCGTCATGAAAGTAAGGCTCCGAGCGGCTCCTCCTTCCCCCATCCCTGTGCTTGCAATAGCGGGATAGGCTGTTCCTGGCAGAACTTCGAGATTTCTGCGCCTTTTGTGTCCGGGGAGGGTTGGCGTGGAGCCGATCTCCCAGGGATGCTGCGGTCCTGCTTGTATTAATGCGAGCTGCAGCTGCAATCTTTCTTGAACAATTTACATAAAAGTAGTCCCTGCCATTTGCATACATCTTTGTTTTCTCGTGTGTTTGTGTTCACCTTGGGGATCATGGATCATTTTATTTTACTTAATTTTCCCCCGCCTATCCCTGACCTGTTTCAGTTTCTATTTTTACATTTAAAGAGTCAGGAGCCCAAAATGAGCCCCTTAAACCCCAGGTTTTTTGGACCTATTTATTTATTGAAGTAGTTTCATAGCCCATCTGAACAAGTCAAGCCCTTGTATCTGGTCGATTTCAAGCACTAAGAGCCAGTGTTGTTGACTCAGACTTCAAATGAGACCTGGGTTCAAATTCCCATTCAGTGACAGAAAAGAAGGGGAGACAGGATGGCAAAAATCAGAGAACCGTCTGTCAGATCTGCTTTGACTTGCATTCCTGCCTTGACCGGGGGGTTGGACTGGATGACCTTATGGGGATCCTTCCCACTCGGTGGTTCTATGACTGTGACAGAGCCAAGTGGTTGATCTAGCACACAAGGTGCTGCCGTTCTTCCCATGTAACTTAGGAGGCGTCAGGTGCCCCTTCGAGCCAACAAGGGACCAATAAGCTCTCCTTCCCCTGTAGTTCGCCACAGGCGCCCTCGAGCACCGGGTCTATGAAGTCCGGGAGACGGCCCTGCGCATCATCTTGGACATGTACCGCCAGCACCGCGCCGTCATCCTGGATTACCTGCCTCCCGACGATGCCAACACTCGCAAGAACGTCCTGTACAAGACGCTGTTCGACGGATTTGCCAAAATCGATGGCAAGCTCACCGAGGTAAAAATAAGAGTAAGAGTCTGGGGGTGGGGTGACGGTTTTGTGATCCTGTTCCGTGGCTTCCACGGAGATCCAGGGGGGGGAGGGCTAGGAAAAAGGAAATTAAATTGTCAACCCTCTACGAACTCTGAGGGGCTTTCAGAACCCAAGGATAGGTAAGCCAGGTGTCTGATGCTTTTGCATGGTCAGCTCACCTGCGTGGTCCCTCTTGAGCTCTGCATAGAATGGACCTGCGTGAGTAAAACACCAATAGGTAGTCTTGGACTACAGCTCTCCATGTCATCAGATTGCAGACTGAGAGATTCCACGGATTATCATCCCCGAAAGTAAAGTCTCTCTGCACCAGCCCATATAGACGGTTAGGTTGCAGCTGAACCCAGTCAAAACGTCATTGAATCCAGCAATGGTTGCTGCACTCTTTCTTGACCAAGTTTAAAATGGATCACCCAACTTCCCAGCAATTCGTAGTAGCTTTCAGAGGACGAAGAGCAAGACCCTCCCAGCCTGGAGGCTTATGCTCAAAAAATGCCTGCCCCAAAGGGTGTGAAAAATGCTGGCTAAATGTCTCATTCCCATCTCTTCAGTCTTTGTCTAGTGAAATTTAGAAGCCACAGGCAGAAGCTCCCTTGTGAAGAGGAGGGCAGGAAACACACAGACAGAGTCCTTGGCAAGTCTGGGCCAGGGTTCCCCCTCTTCACCACGAGAAACTGGAATTGAGTGCTTCGTTTATATGCTGTTTCCAGCATCCGTGGGGGGCTTGAAATATTGATCCTTGGTGGGATCAGTATTTCAAACTGGCACTACGATGGCATGGTGGAGAGCCAGGTTTGAGAGAGTGTATGATTTTTATTTCCATCAAAGGGGGCTTGGGTTTAAATGTGGTGGAGGAATGCAGCTTTCAAGTCTCCTAAAGCCAAAATTGTCCCCACATCCTGCAGCGATGGATGTGGCAAAACCAGATGCCTTGACGTGTTCCTGCCAGATTCTGCTTTCCACCCAAATAAATTGTTTGGTGTATTCTGTGTGGGCAAGTGGGAACTGGCTTGCAGTGGCCCTAATAGGGCTTCCAGGGTAAGTGGGACATTTAAGGAGTGAGTTTTCATGGCTGGGTGGAGATTCAAACCCTGGTCTCCAGAGTCCTTACCCCTTCGCTCTCTCCACAACACCATGCTGGGAATCCCTCAAATAAATTACGGTCAATAAACGAGCACGTTCAAATAGTTTGCTCATCCTTCTTCTGTGTGTGCATGTCACACTTCAAAGAAAATGGGGAAGCGGATCATACAGGCCGAGAGCTTTTAGGAATTCTAAGTTTGTGGCTTTCAGCAATAGACCAAGCGCTGTTGCTCCAAACGACAAGCCGGTGGTGGATAGTGATACCCAGTTTGCATGTCTTTGTGTGACACACGTCAGGCGCAGAAAAAGACGGTGGCCGAAGAAGCCGAGAAGCAAAAGAAGGACGAGATCCGGGCTCTGCAAGGACAACTGGCTGCTCTGAAGGAGATGCAGACGGAAGCTCAGGCTGCAAAGGTATTGCAGGCCCGCCTGGACGCTCTTGGGGGACTTGGTCCCTGTCGAAAGGAGGGAGCCGGGGGGGGCAGCTTGGGGGCCCTGGAGCCAGCCCTCCCTCTTGGTCTCCCAGCCCAGTTCTCCCAGGTTACCCCAAAGGGCTGTGCCCCTTCCCTCGCCCCTGTTCAAGGGTGGCCGCCTAGCACTTTTTTCCTCCTGAAAGGTGGAATCGGCTCTCCCAAGAGTGAGCACCATTTCTGGTGACTTCTAGGTTTTTTGTTTTAATATTTTCAGTTTTTTCAGACTGTGGATAAGTGAATCAGTGGATACTGATCCCCATGGTTAAGGGGGCCCTCCTGTTCATTTTGAAAGATCATGGTCTGTATATTCGGGGGGGGGGGAAGACTGGAGAGGGACCTTGATAGCACTGCTCTTGAATCGGCAGCTGAAGTACGGAGATGGATCGCAGTCTCCAAAAATCCTACAGGCGGAGCAAATGGGGGGGAGGTTCTGCTGCTCTCAAAGGCAGGAAGAGATCCAGCGGGTGGGAATTGAAAAGAAGCATAGTTTTGGTTCAGCATCAAGCTAAGTTTTGAGATGGTGGGTCTGGCAGCCAAACTGCCAAAGCCTTTGGAGGCTGCACATTCAGCTTGGCTTAGAGGGATTTACATCGGGGCGGGAGGGCCGCGTGCCTTTCCTGGCAATTCAGTGTTGGAGATGCTGCATTGACTCGGGGTTGGACCAGATGACCCCCAAAAGGGTCCCGTCCAGCTCTCGCGTCCCGTGGAACCACTGAGAAGAGGATTGCTGGATCTGTTTGTGTTTAAAGGTGAGGCAATGGGAGCCTCCGGTATTACTGTAATCTGGGCCCAGTTTTAATCTGGCAGCATTGGCTTCCTGTGGCCTCCAACAGAGGCCATTTCATCAGAGATTGCAGGCTGGAGATGCTGAGAATTGATTCTGGGAGCTTCTGGCCTCTGCACTTGTGTCTTTTTATCATAAGCTCATCTTCGCTAGTTTGTCAGCAGCTAGGTACGGAGTTTCTGAGATCTTTCTGAGCTGCTCATTGTAGTCAAAGAAGCTGAGTTTCTCTGATGACTTAGACTCACTCTGTTTTGGCTGCTTTCTTTGGCTTGCAGTTGCTCATCCAGGCTTCTGAGGTCTTCCTCCTGACCTCAGCTGCTGACTCAAGAGCTGTGGCCTTGGTTGTGTTTAATTTTGTTTTCTTTCTCTTTCCTTTTTTTGTAGGAGAAAGAAAGCGAGAGGCCCAGGAACCAAGGTTGGTTAGAACAGTGCCATCTTTCTCTAATTGATTGCATGCCATCCAGGTGATTCTGACTTCCAAGAGGTTCTTGTGTGTCAACAGTGGCTCCCAGCCTTGGGTCAGCCAGATGTTCTTGGATGACAGCTCCCAAAAATCCTGGCCAGCCCAGCTAGTGGCGAAGGCTTCTGGGAGTTTGAGTCCAAGAACATCCGGGTTACCCTCGGTTAGGAACCGCTGATGTATAAGCAGCTTATACGAGGACAATATGTTCCTTCTGCTTTGGAAGACCGCCAGAGCTAAAACCCTGGCCTCATAACTGGCTTTGTTCAGCTTTATTTCACCCTCACCACCATGGGCTTGGACTGTACCAGGTGCAATCCTAGCTTGGACATGCTGGCTGTAGGCGGTTAGGATTAGGTGCAAAGCCAACGGGTCTCTGCAGCCAGAACCGACTTCCAGAAGAGCTGATCTGCCAGCTAAGGTCGGACAGCAGGACAGCCAAGAAAGGGGAAGAGGGGGACTGTTCCCTTTCTGAACCTCCTCCAGTGTACAATGCCCACACAGAGTTGCCCCAGGATCAGGGTGGATGTAAATAAGGCCCGACCTCCCAACACATTTGGACTGACCCAGTTTTGGACCAGCTGATTCTTGGCCGTTTTGGACGATGCTGGGATGTAGGCGCATCGCATGAGACTTGGCTGGGTCAGGCCTGTTCACATAGGCTTGAAAAGCCGTAGCCCTTTGTGGTGGTGCTCCCAGAGGTATACTGGTGCTAAAAATGGAGGCTCCATTTAAACGCTGTGTTATCTATGTATGTCTTTATTTACCCACCTATCTGTTTAAAATGCAGTAGGACTGTGGTATCTGCCGGGGATCATTTCCAAGCCCTGCCCCTCTAGATGCCGAAAAAACGTGCAAGTGGATAGTGGGTAGTCCTGGTAAATGTACCCTGGAAATACATTTAAATAGGTATTTCTGAGCTGGGGTTATTGAGTATTTTCAGCCAGCGGATAAGTGAATCAGCAGATATCGATCCTGTGGATGGCAGTTTCCTACTATAGGTATATATTTTTTTTACTTTTCCATACTAAAGTACCTCAGTGGGCTAAAAACAAGCAAAGTGCAAAATACTCCATAACTTATCAAAAATATAAACAAGGAAAATAAAGCCAATTATGGAGACTATTTAGCAGTGATTAATAGATAGGTTTATAAGCCAACGGCCCTCCGACTCCAAGTGCTCAACAACGGAGCTGTGACAAATCATCATACAGTTTACGTAACAATAACTTTCAACATTTGAGATGAAAAGTGTTTTAAAATTGTTTAGCAGCATGATTGAAAAGGCCCAAAGTTTGGCCAACCTGGAAGGTTTGGATGTCGACGCAGGATTCTTTTCTTCTCCAAGGTGAAGTCTTGAAATCTCCCCAGCCTGCGACTGCTGAAATTCCGGACGATCATTCCTCTGTTGACAAGTAAGCGAGAAAACATCTGGTGAGGAAGGTAGCACAGGAGGGTGTATTCCTATTGTCAAAGCTACCTGCCTTGTTGGGAAGACACACTGAAAGGAAATTAGAAGCGTCCACTGTCTCTACTCTCCCAGGGAAAAAGAAAAACTTAATTGGTTGGAAGTTTGTAAAATAGCATATCCTGATTCCATGCACACCTGTGCAGAGACAGAGAGAACCCTCTTATTTCCTTTTTTTTTCATTTAAGTTGTATTAACGTTACACATTACAGAAGAATAAACAGAAGCTTAAATACAAAGTAAGGGAAAAATACATATTGTTTACATAGTACCACTTATCAGACTTTACTCTAAAAATGCACACACCGCCAGGACCAATGAGGGATTTTTTTCTCCCTTTGCTCACAGTCTGATATTTACGATGCCTGATACCCTTTCCAAAACGTCATTGTCGCCTGTCTGAGTAATCTGCCTTCCCCGTTTACTAATACAAAATCCAGACACACTTCCCATATAACGATAAAATGGGGAAAAAGAATTTGAAAGACCATGTCGGTGAGAATAAAATAAACGTTTATAACTTGAAATGGAGGTGGTATTTGACACCATTACAGTGGACCCTCAACTTACAGATGGCTCCATTTACAGACTTTTTGAGTTACAGACTTCTCTGGCCACAAAATTTAGGTTCGACTTGCAGCCGGAGAATTGACCTACAGACCAGAAAAAAAAAATGGAACTAAAATGGTCGGTTACAGATTAATTGGTTTTCAATGCATTGTAGGTCAATGGAGCCTCGACCTACAGACTTTTCGACCTGCAGCCACCGTTCCAATACGGATTAATTCCGTAAGTCGAGGGTCCACTGTAAATTGAACATGATGGATTTTAAGTGTTCCACATTATGTTGGAGATGGGTTCAAGTTATAGGTACTTACTTCCCTGTGGGGTGGGAGTGTGAACCAATTTTGGAAGACGGCATTTAAAGAAGGGGGGGATTGTAAAACGAATGCTAGACGTGACACTCCAAAATTGCATTATTCGCTTTATTTGATGATGAGCAGTGGGCAACAAAGAAGTTACAGATCTCACGATGGCAGCCAGTTTAATTTTTGTGAAAAACAGGAAGGGGAAACATGAGTTTTGGTTAAGTAAATTAGAGATGGGCACGAATTTGTGGTTCGTGCTGGTTCATTCAAAACACGTTAGCACCCGTTTGGCACTTCAGAGCCTCGCCTCCTCCCGTGGGCGTCCAATCAGAGGCAGGCCCTGGAGAAGGTGGGGCTTTGAAGCACTGAACGCCCGTTCGGCCCATAAACGAACTGAGACAAACCGCCAAGCTGGAGGTTCATGCCCTTCCCTAAAGTGAATAGTATAATGAAGACTGGGTTTGTGTGTTTTGTGCCGTCAAATCAGAATCAACTTACCGCGATCCTAACAGGGCTTTCAACACAAGATATTTCAAGGAATGGCTTTACCACATCCCTGTTGACTTTACACGGCCAAGTGGGGGATTTGAACCCAGGCCTCCTAAGGCCTGTCACTCTATCCACTTCACCACACCAGGAATCCTGATGAAGTTTGGGACTTAATGATAGGCTAACGTGCAATATTAAAATAAGATCCTCTTTCTCAGCAGCTGTCTATGCACCATCTGAGCCCCAAACCCGTTGATTCACACATTCTGTGTCTGCCAGACACTGGGCAGGATTCCCTTCAATCTGGGCTTTATGCCTCCCCTTTTCCAATCGGCAAATCTTTCTGCAAGGGTTTGCCAAAATCTGTAGGGTGGAAGAGAAATTGGGGTTGCAGTTTCGGTCCCCAGGCTCTGTGGGCTGGGCTGTAGAAAATGCTTGCCCCAAACCCCTGGTCGGTTGCCCTCTGTCCAGCGCAGACCGGCCCGGCCCATGGGGACTGTAGAGGGCCGCTTTCTTGGAAACATCCAGCACTCAGCACTTCCCTGCCAAAAGTCTCGGCCTCTCCAGGTCAGGCTTGGAAAGTGTGTCCGCATGGAAGAGACCAAACCCAAGGCCCCCTCCAGGTTGACTGAATCATCAGGGAGATTTCTGTAGTTGTAGGAGGGGCAGCCGTGTTAGTCTGTGCAAACATTACAGGTGAAACCAAAATTTAAAAAGTTGAAAAAGGTAAAAATGTGGCGGCACTATCTATCTACATTTATACCTATATCTCTATATATCTATATATATCTATATCTATACTGTATATCTATATATCTATCTATATCTATATAATATACACACACCCTTTATATTTATATCTATATATCTATATCTATCTATCTATATCTATCTATCTATATATGTCTGTCTGTCTGTCTGTCTGTCTATCTAGATAGATAGATAGATAGATAGATAGATAGATAGATAGATAGATAGATAGATAGATAGATAGATAGATAGATATAAAAATTGTGAGCTGTCATGGACCGATCCATGTCATCAGACATGTTGTTTCTGCCCTCTCTCCCCCCCCCTTTCCTCTCCCTCCCTTCCAGCCTTTGCATCTTCTGTGGCGAACAGGATGAATCCTTCACGGAGCAAAGCCTGGATCTGCATTATTGGAAACGCTGCCCCATGCTGACCCGGTGTGACTTCTGCAAGCAGGTGAGGGTCGCCCTCTTCTGCCAGAGACTTTCCGGCCCATTTCCCCATTTCAAATGGGAAACCCAAGGCTGGCTCTTAACCGCCGGCACGGGATGCCTGCTGGCCCTCCTGCCACAGTGGTTAAACTGCAGGACTGCAGTGAAGTCTCTGCTCACGGCCTGAGTTCGATCCCAACAGGTTCAGGTTAGTGGGAGAGCCAACAGGTTCTGCAAGTTTTTGCATTGTTCTGAAAACCTCCTTGACCAAAAGCCATCAGTGTTGTCAAAGAAATCGATACACGGACAGCCGAAAAGGGGGAGCTCTCATAAAGCACTTCCGGGGGGGAAATCCAGGTTTCTGCAGCCCCTCGCTCCTTTTACCGCAGAATGAAAGGGACAGTGTCCTGTAGGGCTGAAAACCACAAGGGTGAGGTGGAGAAGGCAGCCCCGCCCCGCTTTGCTCCCTGGTGCTTTCCTGCCAGGAAGGTTCCTTGCGCCTGCCTGGGTCTCCTCTTGTGCCCCAGACGTGTCCTCTTTCCCCCCCGCTCCAGGTGGTGGAAATTGCCAGCCTGACGGATCATCTGCTGGCCGAGTGCGACAAGAAAGACAACTTTGGCAAGTGTTCTCGCTGCTGTGAAGCCCTGCCGAAGCAGGAGCTGCCCCGGCACGTCAAGGGGAAGGCCTGCAACCGTAAGCGCTGCTGGCAGGCGGGACCAGAGGGGGGAGCAGGACTGGCCAGCGGCTAGACTTTGGGGCTCTGGCCCTGCTGACTGTTGGAATGATATCGGGCTGTCTTGTCCCCGAGGCTTTAAACTCTGCTGCCACTTCAGAGCATCTGGGGCCGTTTCACCCTCCCTGGGACCTTTGGCAGGCTGTGCCAAACCCCTGTGTGATGGGACCACTCAGTCTCTTTAAAACAGCCCTGTGGATTGAAGTGTTACAATGATGTGTACAGAACCCCCACCCCCATATCTGTGGGGGATTGGTTCTAAGCTCCCCACAGAGGCAGAAACCCGTGGATAATAGCAAATGCTAGGCATAGCATGGTAAAAGGGGGAAAAAACAGAAATAGTACTGATGTATTCGCGAAGGCTTCCACGGCCGGGATCTAATGGTTGTTGTGGGTTTTTCGGGCTCTTTGGCCGTGTTCCGAAGGTTGTTCTTCCTAACGTTTCGCCAGTCTCTGTGGCCGGCATCCTCTGAAGATGCCAGCCACAGAGACTGGCGAAATGTTAGGAAGAACAACCTTCAGAACACTGCCAAGGAGCCCGAAAAACCCACAACAACCAGAAATAGTATTGTCACCATGTATTACCACAACGGGCCACGAGAGGGAGACAGAGACCATGATCTACACATGTTTCAGCAACAAGAATGCATACTGTAGTAGTCTCTGCCTCAACCATTCGGGTAAATACATGGTGAACATATATATTTCTAGTTGTTGGGGGTTTTTTTAGTATTTTTAATATTTTCACACCATGGTTAAGTGAAACCGCCGATACAGATGCTGCAGGTACGGGAGCCCCACTTGTAATATCATATAAATTTGAGATGGCCTAAGACTATAATCTAAACAATTTTTCCTTTATGATCTTTTGCGCGCGCACACACACACACACACTTTGAAACAGGGAGTTATACGTGGGAAGTATAAATAATCTAGTTTTCATATTTTCATTCAGCTGAGACAGGGGTCTCCAAACTTTTGACTGTGAGGGCGACACTGGGTATTTTCAACATTTTTGAGGGCTGAAGGAACATGAACGTGCCCGTGTATGGCTGCATACATACATAACGGACTGGATAAAATGGCAAGCAGGCTGGATGTGGCCCACGGGCCGTGGTTTGGAGACCTCCCCTGGGCTGAGACCTAAAAAGGGGGTCCAACAGCACATGTCAGAAATCAGCAGATTTTGAAAACTGGGTGTGTAATCAGGGCCAGTTTAGAGGAATGTGTGCCACAGAGTAATACCTGAACACGTACGGAGTGTTTTTCTTTAACATTGCATCAAAGAGAGCCAGCATCCTTGTACCTCTTTGCAACGTTGTGGTTTGCCTTCACACAAGCAAGTCAAACCAGGAGTGAGAATGAAGCAGCAGAAGTAGTCCTCTATGGATCAAAGTCTGCCTTGCATATGTGGATGTGCATCCAAGGTGTATTATCAGAACTAGTCACTACAGGGAGCCACAGACTCTGCTATATATAGGGTTTGCATATCCGCAGTTTGTAGCATCTGCGGGGGCGCCTGGGACTGCTCCCCCCGTGAATATCACGGTCCTACTGTGTTTGTGATACATCTGCCTTACCTCTCTCCCTCCTCTTTCCAGCTGCCAAACCTAAAAAAGTGGCCAATCGCTGCCCGTTGTGCCATGAGAATTTCACCCCTGGGGAGGAGGTAAGAGCTGCTCACCTTAGTCCAGGGGGGGTCACTGCAGTATTTCGATGGTGTGTTCCTAACCACTTGCCTGGAAAGAAACGGGGCGTCCCATTTCTCTACCCTTTCCAACTGATCACGCCATTCTGCACATGAGCACCCTGTGTTTTCACAAAAGCCTGATGTCAACCCTTCTGCAGCTTCCTGGAAATCAGGACACCGGAGATGGTTCTCTCTCCTCCACCACTTTTCCACCTTCTCAACCAACCTAGAAGTTGGGCTGGAACAAATTGTTACCTGTTTCATTATTTATGTGGCTCCAGGCTATCGGAAGGACCCAATTCTCCCATACAAGCGCACTTGGGCTTTGAGATTCCCAGGGAAAGGGTGGAATTTCCTGTTCTGGGAAACGGTACGGTCCTTCCACCATAGAACAAGGATTTTCCTACTTAGGCAGGTTTTTTGGCAGCCAGCTAACTGCTGATCAGGAGGCTTTCGGCAGGAGGTGCAACACCTTTGCAACGCTGTGTTTTTAAATGGCTTCTTCTAATTCAGTTTTATTTCAGCCTTAGAATGTGTTTAACTTTGTGGTGTTTTTCCAAATGTTGGTGCTTTGGGGTTAGCCTTCTTGGCTCTGCCTCAAAGCCGCATGTTGGAGAGGAAGGTGGGACATAAACTAAACCGTTAACAAAAAAGTAAATGCCGTTTATCTGCCTTTCTCCGAATGAGCCCAGTCTGTTGTGTATGGCTTCCCCATGTTTTATTCCTACATCATCCCTGCAAAGTAGGCCATGTTGAGAGACAGAGCCTGACACATGTGAGTTTCTCCCTAGACAGGTTAATCTATGGAATGGTTAGGCCAGGCTCTTCTGCTGGACTCTGAATTTTCCATCAGTACACTGGCGTGTGGCGCTGCGGACGTGGTGGCGCTGCGGGCTAAACCGCACAAGCCTGTGCTGCAGGGTCAGAAGACCAAGCAGTCGTAAGATCGAATCCACGCGACGGAGTGAGCTCCTGTCGCTTGTCCCAGCTCCTGCCAACCTAGCGGTTCGAAAGCATGCAAATGCAAGGAGATAAATAGGAGCCACCTCGGTGGGAAGGTAACAGCATTCCGTGTCTAAGTCGCACTGGCCATGTGACCACGGAAAGATTGTCTTCGGACAAAACACCGGCTCTAATGGCTTGGAAACGGGGATGAGCAGCGCCCCCTAGAGTCGAACACGACTGGACAAAAATTGTCAAGGGGAACCTTTACCTTTACACTTATTTTATTTATTTATGTGCCACCTCTCTCCCCATAAAGAACCTAAGGCGGCTCCCAAGAGACAAAACAACAGATTTAAAAACACCGTATAAATATCATATTTAAAAAACAAACATGCATTCAATTAAAGAAAACAATTAAGTGTGCGTTAAGATTAAGAGATTCAAAGGTTAAAACAATTATGAAAACATTTGAGAGCCTGCAAGTTGAGAACCAGCCTTCCTGAGATTGCTTGCTGCTTAACGGCTTGCCTGGAGAGGAAGGTCTTTGCCTGAGGGCGGAAGGACAAGAGGGACGGGGGGGGGCACCTGGCTTCTCTGGGCAGGATGGTCCGAAACCTGGCAGCCACCCCCACCCCCCAAGGAGGCCCTCTCTCGTGAGCTTGGGAAGGTGGTGGAATCGAGAGAAGGCCCTCCCCGGAACATCTTAAAAGCAGAGACAGCTCAGATGGAGTGAGACAATCCTAAATACTTCTCTTCCTTGCAATTTCCCCACTGATTTTTACCCTTGCTACCGCTCAGGCTCACGACAGCTGCAGAAAACAAGCCACACTGCTCTTCTCCACCAGCGTTTAAATGTGACTTGACCCCATCGCAATCTATGTCCCCCTTTCCTCGTGTGACCCTTTGTAGCCTGTGCAAAAAGTTTGATCTCTTCCACCTTCTCCTCCCCACCTCCCCAGGCCTGGAAAGTGCACCTGATGGGAAAAGACGGCTGCCGGATGAACCCCAGGCGGACCCAGGCCTTGAACAAGAGCGGCCCGATGCAGCCAGTTCCTGGTATTGTCTCCTTTATGCGCGCACATGGTGCGGGGAGGGGGGAGATAGACAGATTCCCTACAGAGGGAGGCTCTGTGAGTTTGCATCTCCAAAGACTTGAGACTTCTATAAATCCTGGTTTAAAACAAAACAACGTTCATGGACTGCTGGATAGTCCAGGGGTTGAGGTCTCTGGCTGCGGGGCCAGAGGTTGGGAACTCGGTTCCCCCACCACCATCACCCCGGGCCTCCTTGACAGAGCCTGGACTCCCTGATCCCTTAGGGTCCCCTTCCAGCTCTGCATTTCTAAGATTTTCTAAGAGTCTCTAAGACACTCTTTCCCACAAAAACCCATCCAAGGGCTGAAGTCCATCTGATTGCTATGGTGTCTTAGAAATTCTGTACTGTTCTCCTGCAAAATTGGGGCCTGATCCAGCAGGACGCCTCTTTGAGGCTCACTTTAAGGAAGAACTGTGTGATGATTGGGGTTGCTTAAGGGTCGCCTTGCCAGGAGGTGGTGGATACTCCCTTGTTGCAGGTTTTTAAAGCAGACGGTGGATGACCCTCAGTCGGGGGGATGTTTTCACTCTGGGTCACTTGTCAGGCTCCCTGCGCTTCTTCCCACATGACGCTTCTGTGATTCTTAGGCTTTACATGTGGAATTTGTGCACGCAAACTTTTTACAAGCAGCGTGTCCTGGCAGCCACCCCCTCGGATTGGGAAATGGTCAGGGGAGGAACAGCGGGTCTTAGCCGCGGGTCTAAATCCAGGCGGACACGCACAGCCTCTGCATTCAGCTCCAAGCTGCCTTCCAACGATCTGTCGGTTGTAGGAAAACAACGGCTTTACCAGCCCATTTTTACGGCCCCGGGGCAGGCAGGCGGAGAAGGGCCTCTGGCCCGCTCTAGCTCGAAGGCTCTTCCTTGCACCCCGTCAGGAAAAGCCACCCCCTGCCCTCCTGAAACACTTAAGTGACAGGAATGTTTCCTGGCCAGAAATGGTGGGGCAGAGAGAGGACTTTAGAGTGGACACCGAAACCATCCCAGCACAGTAAGCCTGCCTGACTCCTGGATCAGGTGGCAGCCCTCCGGCCCCACCGGCTGTCTGTCTGGGCAGCTCCTCCTTGCACCCCGTCAGGAAAAGCCACCCCCTGCCCTCCTGAAACACTTAAGTGACAGGAATGTTTCCTGGCCAGAAATGGTGGGGCAGAGAGAGGACTTTAGAGTGGACACCGAAACCATCCCAGCACAGTAAGCCTGCCTGACTCCTGGATCAGGTGGCAGCCCTCCGGCCCCACCGGCTGTCTGTCTGGGCAGCTCCTAGACCTCCTCCCTCGGG